CACCAGGTAAAGCAATGAACAGTATGTCTTCTTGGAAAAGAAAGAAATGAAAAGCAACTTCAGTGAATTTTTATTTAAATAAATTATTTTTCTTAACTAAAAACAAAAAGAAAACTGGGTATGTGTGGGGAATGTTATACACCAAAACCTGAAGGAGAAAATAGCATATTCTCCTAGAAATCGCTGAAAAAACTGTTGGTTCTGCATCTTTCTCACATCCTTTTCTTTCTATGAACATCATCACTACTATAGTTCCCACCCTCATCACCTCGTCTGGACTATTGCAGTAGCCTTCTACTTTGTTTTCCTGCCTGAAGGCTCCAATCCATCCTTCACATAATTGCCAAAGTAATTTGCTAAAGTGGTCAGACCATACCATTTCCCTATTAAATAAACTTCTGTGGCTACCTAATGCTTCTGAAATCACATATAAACTCTTTAGTTTGGCATTTAAAACCCATCACAACCTGCTTCTACCTACTTTTCCAACTTTATTGTATATTATTCCCTTTCCCACACTCTACAGTCCTTTAAAATAAGTCTTCTTCCCTTTCCTCACACATAGCATTCTGTCTTTTGTCTTTATCTCTTATCTTCATGACATTGTACAGTCTCCCTTGACTGAACTGTATTTCTTTCTCACCTTTGTCTCTTAGAATCCCTTGTTTCCTTCAAAGCAAAGCTTAAGTTCCATCTTCAGTAGGAAGCCTTTCCTGACACCCTGCCTCTCCTCTGTTGTTTAGACTCCCCCACTCCCCATTACTTTGTATTTGTTTTCTGTATACTTATATAAGTACACCTCTGTCCCCTGATAGGATATAAGGCTTTTGATTTGGCATGGATAGTTTCATTTTTGTCTTTGTATTCTTGGCTCTTAAGCAACTTGAAACATAGTAGGTATTTAATAAATGCATGTTGATTAGCTGTCCCCTGTATATGTAGATAGCTGTGGCTGTCTAGAATGTTACACTGTAAATATAAGTATTTATATTTACACGTACACAAAAGGGTGTATGTGTGGATTTGGAATCCAGAGACTTGGTTTTAAATCATGGCCTTGCTGTTTGCTAGCCTTATGGCGATGAGTAAGACACCGCTGTATACCTAATATCTGTTTGCCGACTTGCGGCACAATACCCAGGAGGAAGTAAAAGCTTATGGAATATTAGTTAATAAACATGAACTTTTAAAGTGATGGTACATGTCAAACACTGGTTTGTGTGTTTTTAGGTATTTGTGTTTGCTTGTTTCTACGATTGGATTATATGTTTCCTGAAGGCAAAGAAAATGTCTTCTCTTTGGTCTTAGTTGCATTTTTGTTTGTGGGTGAAAATGCTTAATATTCTTTTCAAGTCTGTCAACTTTATTTGAATAAAAGATAAATAAGCTCCATGTGCTAATGTTTTCAAAACTTAATAACTTCAAGCAAATAAGCCTTGAAGACGTATGATGTTTAAATGAGAAAATGTAGGTAAAGCACTTTGCAGACTTTAAATTTCTCTGTAAATATGAGCTGTTACCTTTATTGAAAGCAATGTATTTCAGGCAGTTGACACTTGGGACATTGTCTCAGTTCATTAATTTATTCTGATATTGGAAAAATAAAGGGACATCACTTCCCAAGAGTATCTATTTAAGGAACTTGGAAAGGTATCTATCCTTATGTCTCACTAACTTAATTATACAAGTCTGTACAGACTCACAGTTTATATCTTTATATCACATATTTTATATCACTTGGTTTGTGTTGGAAGGCTATTAGTACGACAGTGATACACATGTAAAGGAAAAAGAATGTAATGATTGCTGATTAATAATTTGCTGCTTCCAATTTTACCTCTTTTGTGAATCTTGGCCTCTTAAAAGCTATTTTATTTGACTCTTTAATAACAGTTCACTTCTGGCTTCTCCACTTGAAGTTTAGTGCAAAGTCACCATTTTATCCTGTGATGTTGGGCCCATACTTTTACTTAGGCAGCTGGGTAGCATGATGATTAGAGAACTGGGTCTGGAGTCAGGAAGACCTGAATTTGAATTTGGGCATAGGCACTTACTAACTGTGTGATTCTGGGCAAATCATTTAACATCTGCTTGCCTCAGTTTCCTCAGTTGTAAAACAGAGATAATAATACCTTCCTCAGAGTTGTAATGAGATAAGATAATATTTGTAAAATACAACAACTTAACACATAGTAAGTGCTATACAAACACCCTTCCTTTCCTACTTCCTTAGTGCTAAAATGGGATCTCTGATAAGAAGATATAGGGTATCGAATTTCATGGTCCTTTCTTCCACTCAAGTTATCCTGTCCTGCTTTTTCCTTTTCATAACTAAACTCCCAGAAAAGGTCATCTATACTTCTTGCTTTCATAAAAAAAAAGGCTCCTTCAAGGCAAGGGCTGTTTCACTTTTGTATTTTGTACATAGCACTTGGTTGTTCCTGCCATTAGTTTGAGGCGGAGTAATGTAAAGCCAAATCATCCCCTTCATGATAGAAGAGACCCCATATAGTTAGTCTGCTACAAAGTAGCAAACTGGCCCTACTCAGTCCTGGAATGGCCCTTAAATAGAGAGAATCTGTCCGCTTTCCTTTTTAATATCTCTATCAGCATATGCAGAATATGAACTCCCCCCCCTTGCCTTAGTCTGCTTTTGTCATGCTTCTAATAATGCTTTCATATTTGCCTTTAATCCTCATCTCCTAACATGGTCTTACTTGTACTTCCTTGTTAGTTAGCTTAGAACAGTGAGCAGTAGCCAGTCCACTCCACAATCTGGTCTTTTACTTGAGTATTTCAGTGATGGCCTTATTGCTTTAATGAGTCTTAATTGCCTTACTGTTGTTTTTTCCATTTATATTTTTCGAATGAGTGGGAGAAACCCTGTGTGTTCAGAGTAACACATGCATATTTAGTTCTCTTTTAGGCATGTTAAGTTTAAAAAATTGGTAGGATAGCCATATGGAGATGACCAGTAGGCAGCTGGCACACACACATATGGATGGATAGATAGATTTGGGTTTATTTAAATAGAGATGATAATTGACTTGATAGGAATTGATGAGTAGACAGAGAAGAGAAGGTCCAGAACAAAGCCTTGTTGGATGTCTACTCATACTGGGAAAATTGATGATCCTGCAAAGGAGACTTGGAAGTTTTTAGATAGACAGAAAACTGAGAGAGAATATTGTCATAGAAACCAAGAGAGGAGAAAGCATCCTGCAGGAAGTGTGTGGTTAACAGTACTAGAAAGTGTGGAGAGGTGAAATTGAATGAAGACTTTAATAGAGGTCTTTGGATTTAGTAGGCAAGAGATTGTCTGTCACCTTGCGGAAAGCAGTTTTTGTGGAGTGGTGATAGTAGGAAGCTATATTTACAAGAGTCACCCCTTTGTAAAAAGCTAGTTGGAGCTGAGAAAATGGTGGCAACAAATGAAACACACCCTTTTGGGGAGTTGAGTTGTGGAAAAGGAGCAATATAGGATAACTTGAGGAGTTGAAAGGGTCAAGACTTGGGCAAGTTTGTAGGTAGGAGTAATCTAGGTGATAAGGAGGATTTAAGATGAGAAAAAGAGGGGTTATTTAAAGGGGCAGACTTGTAGAGAGATGGGAAGGGATGAGATCACAGCAGAAATTGGTGGTTTGTTTTGGCAAGGAAAAGGGCCACTTCTTTCTTAGGACCTAGAAAAAAGGAGAGAATGGATGAAGATTTTAATATATGGAGTAGCTTAGGAAATGTATTTCTCATTAAACTAGAAGAGAAGAAAGAAGTGGCATAGGAGATAGAAACAATAGAGAGGCTTGGAAAGAATTGAGGTTACAATGAGAACAAAGAATAGTTTTATGAGGAGGTAGTCTTAGATAAGTTAGGTAATAGAAAGGAAAGATAGAAAGGAATTTCAGGTTTCTGGATCACTAAGGCATCACAGTTATCATTGATGATGGGATTAGGGATATGATCTTTCCTATGTGTGGCTGAGATAAAGTGAAAATTTTGGTCGTGGGAACTGAGAAGACTGATGAACTAGCCTGCCTCTGTATTCAGGATGAGATATGCATATTAAAATTACAAATATGAGAGCAGGGGTTTGGATAGAGAGGGAAGATCATGAGTAAGATAATGAACACCTTGACAAAAGAAGGAAAATGACTAGGAAGCTGTTTGAACATAGCAATGAAAATTTGAATATGGTCGGTGTGAACTTCAAAAGAGAAGTTCCTGAATGATGGTGATAAAGGAAAAGTGGTAGTCTAGAGGAAGAAGTATACCTTATGCTTCCTTCTTGCCCTGTGTGTTTGAGATGAGGACATGAGAGAAGGCTCAACCATTACTGAAGAGAGTGGACATTGGTGTGTTATCTTCTGGAGAGAGTGAGGTTTTTGATAACAAAGGAAGTTGGAAAAAAATTGAAGTGAAGATATCAAAGATAAAGGGGAGTTAACAGTAGATTGGAAGATTCTAGCGGCACATGAAACTGGGAGATGGCAGAAGGGGCTATGGGCTATGGAGGTGTGAACAAGGATGACAATTTGGGGAGAATTAGGATGAGGAAAAAAAAGATTTTCATTTAGAGCATGTGAACTGAATCACTAGTATAAAGGCAAGCAGAACTGGGAATTTACCTGCTATTGAATGGATTAAGAAATGTTTGATCAGGGTCCTGTGATGTCTGCTGAGTCAGGGCTTTGAAAAAGAATAATATAAAATTTGACAAGTCAGGTATTGAACCTTTGATCAAGATCTCATTAGGACTGCTCTTTAACCATTTGACCTTATTCATGGATTTAAGACCTAACTAATTATATCTATAACAAAAAAAGTTATGATAGAGTTAAATTTCTTAGAAATGTTTTTTTGAAATTCAAATGTTTTTTCTTTTATCTAATGATAATAGAAGTTTAGTGAACTTAATATGTGATGAGAAACTGTTATCATTCTAATACACTAAAAAATAGACATGAAATTATTTTTATAAAAAGTTTTTTTTTTCTTCTTTAAAGGAAATGATTGTTGACAAAGTAAATGGACAGGTCGTTCCTCGGTACTTGATATACGACATAATTAAATTTAATGTAAGTACCTCTAAAAACTTATGTACTGTTTTTGTTTTAAAAGTTAAGATGTTCTAAAATAATCAGTATTTAAGTTGGAAAATATTTCTTGCAGATAATTGAGCTGAGAAAGCTGTTAGCATTTCTGAGAAGTTGTATTAGATGAAACTTCAAGTCTTGAGTTCTTCTTTTTAAAACAGTGTTCTTGAACAAATGCAGAGGTCTTATATTTTTCCAATAGTTTAAAATAATCTTCTTTTCTAGTAAATGTATGACTTTCACGGGAATTTAATGTTCTGGGTTTCATATTAGATAAAATCAGAATGCAGGAATGAAAATGCTTAATTTCTATATGCCTTTCCAGGATATTGCACCCCTGTAAGATTGTAACTTAAATGTTAAATATGTTATTATTTTGAGTAGACCTTTGATTTCAATACTACATGGAAGTTCCAATGAGGAAACACCTTCTGCCAATAAACATTGGCAGCTGTTCTGCAGCATAAAGTCTTAAAAAGTATTCTGGGGCATTGAGAGGTTAAGTGACTTTTTTTATAGTCTCATAGGCAGTATGAGTCAGATACTGATCTTGAGGCCAGCTCTTCCTGATTAAAATGCTGGCTCTCCATTATCACATTGTTTCTCAATCCTAGGAAAAGTAAGGAGCTGACTTAAAGAATTCTCCCAAATTTCATTTTTTATAATTTATAAATAGAAACATAACTAGTTAATAGAAGTAATTAATACACAAGTGTCTTTGCTACAAGAGGGGAAAAAAACAACACAAGAATTGGTCTGCTTTTGATTATTATTCGTTATCTGAATTTCTTTTTTCTTGCATGTGATTTAATTTTTTGAGATATTAGCACCTTTATCATCACATTTAATAGGTGAGAAAATTATGAAATTCAAACCAGAATATGCTGTTTAGCAGCACCAGTAGTAAAGCTTTGATTAAATGAGTAAATGCAACCAAAAGTTAAATAAAAGCTTTTGAATTAATCAAATGTGATTCAATTCAATGAAAAAAATTATTGGGTGCCTATACTAGTCAAGGCCATGTCCTAGTTATTGAATGGCCTTTGGTGAGCTTAGTGCTATGTGCTTGATACTTGTACAATAAGTATTTTCATTTAGATTGAGTAAGAAACAGGCTACAGCACCCACCATGAGCTTACTTAAAAAAAATGAAGCATTTTTTACTTTTAGTTCCAAATTCTATCCTTCCCCTAAACCCTGTACCCACTATACATATGAAATCATGCAAAACCTATTTCTTAATTAGCTATGTTGACAAAAAAGGCAATTTTAAAAAGTGGAAAAATATGCTTCATTTTTCACTCATAGAGTTCATCAGTTTTCTCTCTGGAGGTGAATAGCATTTTTCATTATAAGCTCTTTGGAATTGTTGTGGATCACTGTATTGATCAGAGTAGCCAAGTCTTTCACAGTTGATTATTGTATAGTAATTCTGTTACTGTGTATAATGTTCTCCTAGTTCTGCTTATTTAATTTTGAATCGGCTTATATAAATCTTCCCAGGTTTTTCTAAAACCATGCCCTTTATCATTTCTTATAGCATAACTGTATTCCATCGCAGTTATGTTCCCCAACTTGTTTAAACATTCCCCAGTTTCCAGTTTTTTTGTCACAACAAAAAGAACTGCTATAAATATTTTTGGACATACAGGTCCTTTTCCTTTTTCTTTGATCTCCTTAGGATATAAATCTAGTAGTGGTATTGCTGGGTCAAAGAGTATGCACAGTTTTATTGCCCTTTGGGCATTGTAACAAATTGCTCTCCAGAATGGTTGAACTAGTTCACAGCTCTATGAATAGTACTTTTACACATCCTCTCCCACATTTGTAATTTTCCTTTTTTGTCATCTTAGCCAACCTGTTGGGTGTGAAGTGGTACCTTAGAGTTATTATTTTTATATCTAATTATTAGTGATTTAGAACATTTTTTCTTATGAGTTATTGATAGCTTTGATTTCTTCCTCTGAAAACTGCCTTTCGTATCCTTTGACCATTTACAAAATGTGGAATGGGTCTTATTTTGTAAGTTTGGCTCATTTCTTTTTACGTATACACACACACACACACACACACACACACACACACACACACACAAATTTGAAAATTGAGACTTTTATCAGAGATACTTGCTGTAAATTCACTTCCCTCTCCCCTTTTCGCTTTTCTTCTAATTGTGGCTGTATTGATTTTGCTTGTGTGAAGAGTTTAATAAGTAATCAAAATTATCTATTTTGCATACCATGAACATATCTATCTCTTGTTTGGTCATTAACTCTTCCCCATCCATCAATCTAACAGGTAACTTTTTCCATGCTCCCTGAATTTCCTTATGATATCACTCTTTATCTCTAAATCATATACCAATTTTGAGCTTATCTTGGTATACACTCTGAGATGTTGGTCTGTGCCTACTTTCTATCAGATTACTTTCCAGTTTTCCTAGTAGCTTTTGTCAGATCATGAGTTCATGCCGCAATAGCAAGGATCTTTGGATACATCAAACATTAAGCAGTTGTGCTCATTTGCTCTGTATATTGTATACCTACTCTATTCCAATTGATCAACCAGTTTCTTATGCAGTATCAAATTATTTTGATGATTGCTACTTTGTAATATAGTTTGAGATCTGGTACTGCCAAGCCCCCTTACTTAAAATTTTTTTCCCCTTTGATTCCTTTGATAGTCAACCTTTTTTTCTTCCTGATGAATTTTATTATTTTCCTTAGCTCTATAAAGTAATTCTTTAGTAGAATGATTGTTATGGCACTGAATAAGTAAATTACTTTAGATAGTGTTATCATTTTTATTATTTTGGCTCCACCTAACCATATGCAATTAATATTTCTCTAGTTATTTAGCTCTGTCTTTATTTGTGAGAGGAGTGTTTTGTAATTGTGTTCATATAATTCCAGTATGTCTCTTGACAAGTAAACTCTCAAATATTTTATATTGTCAGTAGCTATTTTAAGCAGAATTTTTCCTTATATCTCATTCTACTGTGTTTTGTTGGAAATTTCTAGAAATGCAGAGGATTTGTATGGGTTTTCTAATTGATTCTCTAGGATTCCATAAGTAAGCTATATTATCTGCAGAAAGCAATATTTTTATTTCCTTTTTGCCTATTATTCTTTTGATTTCTTTTTCTTGTCTTTTTGCTGTCACCATCGTTTCTAGTACATTATTGAATAAAAGTGGTGATAATGGTTCCTTGCTTTACCTCTGATCTTATTTGGAAGACTCCTAGTTTATCCCCATTACAGATAATGCTTGCTCTTGGCTTTAGATAGCTACTTTTATCATTTTAAGAAAAGCTCAATTTACTCCTCTGCTTTCTAGTGCTTTTAATAGGAATGAATGATGTATTTGTCAACAGCCTTTTCTGCATCTATTGAGATAATCATATAATTTTTCTTGTTTTTGTTATTGACATGTTCAGTTAGGCTGACAGTTTTTCTAATATTAAACCAGCTCTGCCTTCCTGGTATAAATCCCACCTGGTCATAATGTATGATCTTTGTGATATATTTCTGCAATCTCCTTGTAAGTATTTTATTTAAAATTTTGGATCGGTATTCATTAGGGATATTGGTCTCTATTTTTCTTTGTATGTGCTCTTCCTGGTTTAGGTTATCAGTGCCATCTTTGCGTCATGAAAGGAATTTGTTAGGACTACTTTGCTTATTTTCCCAAAGAGTTTATATAGTATCAGAATTGATTGTTCTTTAAATATTTGGTAGAATTCACTATTGGATCCATCTGCTCCTGGGTTTCTTAGGGAGCTCATTTATGGCTTGTTCAATTTCTTTTACTAGGATAGGATTATTTAAGTATTCTGTATCATCTTCTGTTATTCTGTGTAATTTATGTTTTTTTAAACATTTCATTTAAATTGTCAGTTTAATTAGCATAGAGTTCTTAATAATTGCTTTAATTTCATCTTTGATTGTGTATTCACCCATTTCATTTATAATACTGATAATTTGTTTTTTTCTTCCTTTAAAAAATAAAATTAGCCACTGATTTATTATTTTATCACCTCTGGAAAGAGATCCCAAAGTGAAAAGTCCCAGGAATTTTGTAGCCAAATTCCAGAGCCCACAGGTAAAAAGAAAATACTTCAGGTAGCCAGAAAGAAATCATTCAGATACCGTGGAGCCACAGTCAGGATCACACAAAATTTAGCAGTTACCACATTAAAGGATCAGAGGAGGGCTTGGAATATGATATTTCAGGCTGCAAAAGATCTGGGATTACAAGCAAGAATAACCTACCATGCAAAAGTGAGTGTAATTTTCCCCCATTCAAGGGTAAAAAAAAAATCAATATTTAACAAAATAGAGGATTGTAAAGCATTCCTGAAGAAAAGCCAGAACTGAATAGGAAATTTAACTTTCAGTTACAAGACTCAAGACAAGCATCAAAAGGTAAATATGAAAAAGTAATTGTAATGGACTTAATAAGGTTAAACTATTTACATTTCTATTTGGGAAAGTGATACATGTAACTTCTATCATTATTAGGGCAGTTAGAAAGATTCTACATAGAAAGAGGGCATGAGAGTGAGTTGATTATGTTCAGGTGATGTTTTAAAAAAAATGTGTAGGTGAGAAAGAGGAATGCCCTTGGAAAAGGGAAAGAAAGAGGCAGAATGGGAAAAATAATCTCACGCAAAAATAGCATGGAAGGAAGAGCTTTTACAGTGGAAGGGAAAATAATGTGTTTGTGTGTAGGGGAGGGGGCAGGCAATGCTTGAATCTCAACCATCTAAATTGGTTCAAAGATGGAAAACACATAGGTATGTACACATACACACTCACACACTCTCTCTCTCTCTCTCAGTTGGGTGAGGAAATCTGTTTTATCCCATAGGGAAGTAGGAGGCAAGGGGGATTAGGTTAAGGAGGGGGTGATAAAAGGGAGAGTCAGTAAAAGAAGGCAATGGTCAGAAGCAGATTTTAGTGAAGGAGAGGAGGAGGGAGGGG